AATACTTACAAATATAATTCAAAGAGATGAAAAATGTGTATTATCAAAAGTACAATTAAAATATGATTCAGAACCATATATTTACAAGAAAAAACCTAAGAGATGATAAAGACAACAAAAGTGTGTAAAACATGAAGGAAATGGCAAGAACAATGAATGCCATGAAAGACTACTTATAAGCAAATGCATTTGTTTTATTATCAAATGTAAAAGAATAAATTTCTCGATTAAATGTAGTTCAATGTCTGCAGTGGTGGCAAATTCTTGTAAGAGTAACTGTGAGGGTGGCAAAAGCATGAGGAGCTCAAGATCATGCCACAGAAGGAAAGATTAGGGACTTAGCCAGACACAGTCTCAGAATTAAAAAAAATTTAGAAAATGGCTGGAGATGCAACTCAGTATGAAGTACCTTGTTCAATCTCCAGTAGAGCAAAAATATATAGTAAAGCTCCAAACTGCATATTTTTGAAAACTGATAAAACATTTCCTGTAAAGAAAAATAAGTACAATAAATACAAACAAGTGAGGAACATAAGAGAAAAATTACAACAGGAATAAGGATGGTTAAAATTTTAAAAAGGTGAGAAACACGATTTCATACTGAAAAAATAAAAACTGAGGGAACCTCATGAACACTGCAAAAAGAGATGGAAGAGCACACTGGCTGTCGGCAAGAGGCAGGTAATCTTCACAGTGCATTGGAGAAGCTTGCAGGAGGAAAGGGTGAGGAAATCCCCCCCCCACACACACACACACACTGAAGTCTTATGTATGACCAGGAACTTGAGGACCATGGATAACGATCTGGAAATCACAAGCCTAGACAGCGTGGAAACTTCCACTATCTGAAACATTGCCAGCAATCTGCCCAGTCTCTAATGTAATCCCAAAATTCAACAGCAACACTTTGCAGTGATGGTGACAATAAACTCTCCCTCTTGCCAACCTGTGAATGTGTGTCTGTGTGTTCGCTGGGGTGGGGTGGAAGAAAGGAAAGATGGAAAGGAGCCATAGGAGGCTGTGTGAGAAGGGAGGAAGGTGGAATCCTCTTCCCATCCATAGAAATTTGAGAGGAAGAGTGGAAGATAGGAAAGAAGGAAGAGAACAGGAGGAGGGGAGTGAGAAGGGAGAAACATGGGATGCCCTTCCAACTGATTGAGATTTGAGGGTCAATTCAAGTACTTACTACTTTCTAATGGAACTATGAAATCAAATAAGGATATTTTAATGTTCATTTAACACAGTGAGCTCACTCTTTTGAGACCTCAGGAATGACTCACTGATTATTGATGAGCTTCCTTAAAAATGTCCAGTATTCTGGCATTTGGGGAAGAGAAGAATAAGGATGAGGAAATATTCACATGATCTTAGATTTGGCCAGATTAGCAGGGAGGTGCTTCGGGTAAGACACAAACTAGGAAAATGATCAGGCGTGCAAGGAGGAGAATGTGCAAGACTGTGGAGAAATCACCTCCCTGATTCCTGATCCCCTGTAATTGAGGATGGGGAAATAAGAGGGGTGGAAGATGAGTGCAGGAGAGATGTGTGGGGCTGCTAAGCAGATCCCTCCCTTCTCTTCCATGTACGTTTTGCTCATGATACTGTAAGGGCTTGGTTGTAGATATCATATAGCAAAAGTTAAAAATCAAAAACTTCTATGTGACTATCATTCTGCTGTCTGTCACGTAATTAGCAGCTAAATTCAGTCAGCCTTGACTCTCTGCATCCAGTTGCTTCTTCCTGATAACGCACTAGATGGGCCTGACCACATCCAGTTGTAATGCTTGCGTTTTTCTCTACTTAGAAGTCATATATAGTTTTTCCAACTTGCTTCAAAAACTTCATGTCTGAGGCAGACTGGCCCAGTCAAGGACCCATTAAGCTCTACTTGCTCTGCTCCCATCCTCTTCCCTCCTTCCCAGAGCGTTCCTACCTTGTGATAAACCATTCATTTTATATACATCTAATTAAAACTAGTTTGCTTGACAACATATGACTCGGTGCATATTACCAACCATATAATAACCTTCCATCATCCTTTTACTTACTGATTACAAAACGTATTTAACTGAACTTTTTAGTGACTTGGAGCTGTTGATTTGGAACTGATTCCCACCATCCCACTAGCATAATAAAAGTTGCTTTTTAACTCCTTGGTACAGAGTCTTCCATTTGGTTTGATATTAGATTCCTAAAACAATACCCCCTTTCTCTTTCTCTGGTCTAGATGGTGCTTCCTGATGTCTAAGCCCCTCTCCCCGTGGCTACCATTGGATGATGACTTACTGACCGCAATGTGCAAGGGCATGTGGCCATTTTTGGGAAAGGAGTATAAAGGATGGTCAGGCCCACCTGAGGTAGACCACTGGGAAGCAGTAAGTGAAGATTTGCTGAAAATCAGCAGCACCCTGTGCAGATACTGAAGTAGCTGACCCAGGCATTCTAGTGACGGGGAAGAGAAGGGCTCCTTCTCCACCTAAATTCTAACCACCAGCACCAAGTGGAGATCTTGAAGAAGCATCCTGTGAGGGAGAAGAGAAAGCAGTTTTCACCATTGAGTTTAAGGTCAATGTGAGTAGACCATCCACACTCCTTGCTTGGTCCCCTTTGACACTGCTCAAGCCTTCTACCCTGTCCTCAGATTGTGCCCCTTCTCATGAAGCCCCTGCTCCCATTGTTCCTCCTCCTCCTTCCCTCAAAGCATTGCTCTTCTGTGATCTCCCTGCATCTTCAGGTGACAAAGAGAGCAAAGAGAGGAAATAGACCCCTTTAGCAGGTTCAAAGAAAATATTGCCCTAGATCTTGCAACAGTCCTGATAACCAAAGAACAGGGGGTGGCAGAAAGTTTGGGACATTGTCACCAGCTGGATAAGACACTCCGTGAAGTTCACCAGAGTGAGTCAAATAGAGTGGGTGCGGAACTCCACCCCCAGGATTGGCCAGCCAAGGATCCAGGGAAGAAGAGGGTGGAAACCTCAATGGTACCCGCAAAAGCTCCAGAAATATGTGCAGTGGCAAAAGTCAGTAGTAGATGGGACAGTTGACATCAACAGATTATGGTAATGGGAGAAACAGAAATCAACCCCTTGTGAGTGTGTGTGTGTGTGTGTGTGTGTGTGTGTGTGTGTGTGTGAACCCTGATTGTGTGGCCACAGGAGACCAGGAAGATGCAGTGCAGACAATCACAGCACCTTCTGTAACCACAGAACTCTCCTCAACTTTTAATTTCAGGTAGGGACACTTGTGAACATTTGGGTACTATCAGCCTGGTACTTTATCTATGTATCCATATTTAATTTGGGTTATCATGAGGACAAAAGTGGTCATTTCTCAAAATAGTGACACTGGAGACTATGTATAAGATTATGTGCAGAATTCAGTGTTATGAAATTCTGGTTCCTTATCTACTATGTCAGTGGCCTCAGATAAATCTTTAAACCTCTAAGAGTACATTTTGTCATGAGGATAAGAACTTCAGAATAATACTGTAAAACTGCAGTAAGAATTTATAAATAAAGCACTTAACAACATAAGGGAATTAATAGTACTCACTATAAATTCTGTGAAGGAGGAGGGTACTGTGATTCCTATTAGGCACATACCTATCCTGGTTGAGGCAACAGTGGTTGAGTGCTGCTCAGAAAGCTCTGAGAACTAAAACAGGAAAATGTGTATTTAATATGCATTGAAATGAGAGCTGGAGTGTGCTAGAAATTTGTATGCAAAGGTGATTCCAGGAAACGATGAGTTAACTGAGATGAGCGTTGGCCAGTTTTGCAACTGTGAAAATTAGAAGCAAGATACGGTGGAAATTATAAAACAAGTACTTTGCAGTGGACAGTAATTTTAAAAACACTATCACATACCCTTATGTGCAAGTTTTCATACTCAGCTCCAGTTCAAATGTTCAATTAATTAGGGAACATGTTTGAGTCACTAAAAGACCAAGGCCACTCCTAAAGGAGACTAGCACTAATCACAAATAGTGATGACTCCTCAGAGTCAGAGAAGTTAGAAAGTCATTTTATAATTATTTTTATCCTAATCATGCTTGATAAAAATGTGTAAAAGGACCTAGGTTTGAAACAAAACTCAATGTTACCGAATTCTCAGGACTGCATATTTATACATATCATTATAAAAATACATTTTTAACAAAATTCCTATAAAAGAAATGGCTCTGTTATTTCAAATATTAAACAAATGGGAGACAAAGCCTCATGTATTCGTGCCTTAAACAAGGGTAGAAGTAACGCTGATGGCATGGGATATATGGGAAATACTGAGGTTATGTATGATAATCGGTTATTATTCAGGTGCAATCAAATCAAACAAATGTCATTTGTTTATTTAATTTCAAACCCAACTCCAGTTTTTAAAAACATATTTAAAAATTCATTATTACCTCCCCCAAATTAAAGACCCAATCAAAAATGTGCAATCTAAATGAATAGATGCTTCACAGGTGAAATGTAAATGACCAATAAATATATAAAAATGTTCAGCAACTTTAGCCACTGAAGAAAAGTGCAACATTGAGGTAGTCAAGAAGTAAGTAACCTTCAAAGTGCATGAGAGACATCTGTAGGAAGGAAGGATGGTGCACATCTCTGCATAGCCCTACATATGACCAGATTAGCATTAAAGACTGGGTAAATTACAAATTAGGGGAGGGTAGGAGAAGGGACAGAAGAGAATGTACCACTGAGTGAGGGTGGCCTTACTAAGAGCATGGAGGAAAGACCCTCCCCCTGGAATGTGATCCATGAAAACTGAGTTCAGGTATATAGAAGGGGTGGGAGATCCGTCTGGGAAAGGTTTGCAGGGTTGAGAAGTAATTTTCCCCTTCTCTAACTATACCGTATTGGACTCACCCCACCCACCCCCTGACCCATGGACTAGTCCAGCTGGTGTCTTGCGATGTCTAAGCCTCTCTGTCCACCCAGGACTACCATTGGCTGCTGACTTGCTGACCAAAGAAAGCCCAAGGGTGTGGCCACCTCAGGGACAGTATATAAATGGTGGCCAGGCCTAGGCAGGGCAGACCGCTGGGAAGAGCTTGCCCATGAGGAATGGCGCGGTATCAGCATGGGCAGCGTGGACTGCCTAGATCCACTAAAAGAAGATCAAGATCTCTCCCGAGACAGAAGACAAGGGCTATGACAGCGCCTAAATTTAAGTGCAAGGTGAGTAGCCCATCCTACTCCTGCCCTTGTCCCTTGACAACCCTCCCAAGATTTTTTCCTGTCCTCAGACTGTGCCCCTTCTCACGAAGGCCCTGTTCCCATCGCTGCTCCCCTCTCCCCAAAATCAGTGCTCTTGTGTGATGTCGGTGTCTTCCAGGCAAACAAGAATTCGAGCAGGGCCAAGAGCCCCCAACAAAGGGCGAGAACATCTCCCCGGGCGTTCCCACGCACGGTGGTGACCCAAAGACAGGGGAAGCGGCAGCGCGGTTTGGCCCGTTTCACCTACCAGCTGCAAAACAACCGCTCGGGGCCCCGGTGCAGGAGCGCATCCGTGAGACCCCGTGGAAGACCAGCCCCTCGCGTGCCGCTCCGGAAAGGCAAGGTCAACAGGGACCGCCAGAGAAACAGCACCAGGGTGGGCGGGAGGAGGTCCGCCCGAGGCCGTGGAGGCCCAGGCCCACAGAAGGTGGTGCCACAGGCCCGTGTGCGCAGAGGCCACAAAACTCCATACAACCTGAGGCGTGGCCCGTGGCCTGTGTACCACTATTGAGCAATGGAGGTAGACCTGGAACTGTGCACCACTTTCCAGTGATGGTATCAATAAAACTTAGCTCTGTGAACCTGCCAGTCTGTGTGTCTGTGTTCTCTGGAGGTCGAGACAGGGAAGGAAGGAATGGACCGCTGAAAGGGGCGCCTTGGGAAGAGTGTGGAGGAGTCACCCTGCCCTGATCCCTGATCACTGGTACTGAGTCTAGGGAGAGAAGAGGGGTAGGAGATAAGCGTGAGAGAGATTTGCGTGAATCCTGGGCACATCCCTCCCTTCTCCACCACACATGCTGGGCTCATCATTGCGACCTCCCTCTCCCCCATGGGTGACACTTTGTGGTACCTAAGCCCCGCCCCCCGCCCCATAGCTACTATGACCTAGTGGTTTCATGACCAAATAAAGCCCGAGGGTGTGGCCATCCTAGGGCCAGGCAGACAGAGAGGACAGACCCACCTGGGGTAGCCCACTGGGAGGCAGCAAGGGTAGAAGATGGGGCAGAAGCAAGCAGTCCCTCCGGCTGAAACTGAAAAAACCGTGCCAAGCACCCTGACTAGAGAGAAGAGAAAGGTTGTGCCACCATCTAGATACTCACCATCGGCATCGCACGCAAATACCACACAAGCAGGTCCGAGCACCAGTGTGCAAGAAAAACGCAAATCCTCTGCACCACTTGGGTTCGAGAGCAAGGTGAGTGGATCGGCCCAGCTTCTCTCTTTCTTCCCTTGACACTCCTCAAGACCACTCCTACCTTTTGGCCGGACTGTACCCCTTCTCCTGAAGCCCCTGCTCCTGTCCTTCGTCTCCCTTCTTCCTCAAATCAGTTCACTCCTGTGATCTCTTTATGTCCTTGCAGATGCCCAAGAAACCAAGGAAGGCAGGAGGAAAAAACCAAGGCTGTTTGGAGGAAAAAACATCCCCCAGAGCGCCCACCAGCTCCAGCTCTGGGGAACCCAAGAAAAAGAGCACCAGCATCGTACGAGACCTCACCACACCTCGTGGTAATCTGGGCAGCGGAGGCCAGCGGCCACAAACCTTAAAGGCTGCCCCAGAGGTCCGCAGATATAGCTACTGAAGCAGCTGGCAGAAGTCCACGTGAACAATTTGAAATGATGGAGAAAATAAAATGAACTTCTTCGGAAATTTGTGTGTGTGTGTCTTTGTGTGCTCACTGAGGGTGGGATGAAGGGAGGAAGGAAGGGAACAGGTGGGTGTGTGAGAAGGGAGGGAGGTGTCTGAGAGACAAGAGAGCTACCTCAAACACACCCTGAACCCAGAGCCTGCTGAGACTGACATAGCATGTGGGAGGGCCAAGGCCCACAGAGTTAAAGGCTGCCTACTGCTGCGGTGGACTTGTGGCCCAGGGCTGCTGCAACCAGCCACGGTTGATGCTGGCTAGAATAATTTGAGATATGGGGGCAGCACGACTCCTCCTGACACCAGTGCTATTCCAGAGATGTATCTATGAGCACTGGAGACAGAGGCCGACAGGATCTGCCCTGCATTAGGTTTTGCCAGCCTGGCACTGAGTTCTAAGGCAAAGTCCTGTGCTAACTACCCTTGCTCAGCCTCAGTGAAGGGAGTCTTGCTCCAGGCTCTGCTTCTTGAGCTGGAGGTAGTGTTGGTGAAGGCAGTTCCTTGGTCAGTGAGGCTGACACGGAACTTTGCGAATTATTCCTGAGTCTCACAGGTACAAGTCACACAGGCCAACACCACAGCTGACACTGATGCAGGCCACGGCACTAGTCCATCTTTTCCTGGTGCTGGTACAGGTCCAGAGGCCGTGTCTGTGAGCACTGGCTTGGGGACAGCTGTGCTACTTGAGGTTGGTGCACATGTCCATGGCCACCAAGGCGGATGCTAAGGTGAGCTGTGCCTGAAACTCACTGCTGCAGTTACCTGAGCAATCTGTTGCTGTGTGGGATACCACAGGTCCATGCGGAGACTGGCTGTAACTCAGGCACAAACTCAAGTGTGCCCACTGGTGTGCAGTTCTCCACTGGGGGCCAAAGCAGGCCTAGGGCCTCAGTGTCTCTGCTCAGGCCCACACACAGGGCCTTTGGTTTCTGCCTGGTTTTGAGTCTTGCTTCAATAGGCCCAGCATTGAGCTCCCAGAAAAATTCCTGTGCTGGCCTCCGTGTCTTGATACCCAGCAGCTGGAGTGCAGCTCCCCCAGTGCTACCTGAGACAGGAAGAGGTAGCATGGAGGCAGTGTGTTTCCTGGCTGATGCACCTCCAGCACCTTCAGTCTGTGGATATTGGTGTGGGGCTGGGAGCTGTGGGGCTATAGCTGGGACCAGAGTTCACCTTGACAGGTCTTCAGTTGGGTTTTAAATCTAAGTCCTAGACTTAATTCCCTCTTCCTCCTCCAAGTGGTAGATATCTCTGTTCACACTGCTTGGAGTAGGAGGAGGGGTAGCATCACCCACTCTTTCCTTCCTGCCTTCTTCAACAATACATCCTTTTTATGGTCCCTCATCTGGTTCCTTTTTCTACTGTAAAGGTTGATTTGTGAATCTGTAGGGAAGCTATTGCTACTGAAATATTTTAGCCACCTTTCCCTCCTTAGAAGTGTTTCTTTACTTCTTGAAGCCATTTCCTAATCAGTGAAACAGAAGAGAATTGAACTGTGCGGATGTATTATGAATTATCTTGAAAGACCAATGTTTATTAGTGTTATTACTACAGTTACTTGTACTGGAATTTTGATGCTTTAAATTTTCAGGAAATGATTTGATTTCCTCATTGGCTATATGGCTGCCAAAAAGGATGGAAGTAGTTAATTCAGGTTTCAAAGAGAAAGCAAATAAAATTGAGGTCAAAAGAGGATTTGGGGTTTTTTGTTTGTTTGATTTTTGGTACTGAGGATCAAACTCCAGCATTGCATTCACCAGGAAGGTGCTTATGCTGCTGAGCTAAACCCCTCACCCCTTAGGATTTGGGTTTTTGAACTGGAATTTAATATGTGAAATCTTGTACAAATGACTCAGAGTACTCAGTATAAGACCTGTTTGTTAGTTGATTTGATTTACAATAGGAAAACTTATGAATGTAAATACTAATCCACAGTCAGAAAGGATTTTATCATTAAGTAGCTTTTAATCAGCAGGCTTCATAACATTATTTAAAAATTTAATGTCTTCCACATCTGTGTTTCATATATTGGACTGGAATAGTTTAGCTTTTGTAGTAATCTGCAACATGAGATGAACCTGCACGTTGAAAGTATGTGTTATTTTAATGAACAAAGAAATATATGTGGTATCAATATTTAGGAATATGATGCTAGGTAAAAATAATATATACAGGGGAAATGATAATGAATAATAATATATACAGGGGAAAATGGTAGGTAAAAATAATGCTAGGTAAAATGCTAGGTAAAAATAATATATACAGGGGAAATGATAATGAAAAATAATATATACAGGGGAAATGATAATGAAATACTATAAAACAGAACACATGTCTTCTTGTTAAATGATTTGAATTATATTTTCTGGGCTCTTTTTAAAATACAGCAAATTTAGGACAACTATGACCCAGTTAAAAAAAATTCAATAAACATTGGGCAAAACCCTTGAACAGGCACTTCACTAAAGATGATAAATGTGTGGTCAGTATGCACATGAAACAGTTTTCAACATGTTGTTCCTCAGGAAAATGTAAATTAAATGCTCAATTAAATACCACTACAGATTCACCAGAATGGTTCAAAATAAATCACTGAGATGGGCTGTGCTTTCCCATGCCTGAAATTCCAGAAACTGAGTGAGACCCTATCTGAAAATAAAAATTAAAAAGGCTGGGAATGTAGCTCAGTGATAAGGCCCCAGGTTCATCCATCAACCCCTAGTTGTGAAGCAAAAAAGGACTGAGCAGAAAATATGTTTAGGATGGGGAGGAACTGAATCTCTCATTCATTAGGGATGAAAATGTGAAATGGTACCATGACTTGTGAAAAGTTTATTTTCCTTATAAAGTTAGTTACGCATCTATATTTGACTGAGAATACACTTCTTGGTATTTATTACAAAGAATGAAAATGCATATTCAGTCAAGTGGAGCTGAACCTGTTCTGGCTCAGAGCTGCTCTGTCCCAGCCTTGACTCCAGGAGGGGTTTCAGAGGGTTCTGTGATGTCTCTGAGACCCATCCAATCATTTCACAAGGGATGCTGATATTGTATAATTTCTCTATATTTCTACTGGCTAAGATTCTGTGAAATGCTCCCTTGTGATATGACTCTTCTTTCAGCAGCTCCCAAAAGCAATACCCACTTGCCACCAGCTGGAGTAAGAATTCAGACTATAATACCAAATATTTGGTGGCTCCTCAGGAATTCTGTTCGTTTCATAAGACGCTTCTTTACTCTGTCTTTCTACCAGGTTTGGAAAGAAGCAAGGAGAGAGGTGTGTTGATGGACATATTACAAAGCTTCTCTGATTGTATGTCTGAATACATTAATAAATCCATTCAGCAGCAGGTATTCATTGAACACCTGCTCCATTTTATTAGGAATTGACTTTGAATGAATATAGAGCTATTGGATGAACACACACATTTTCTGCCCTCACAGAGATGATCATTTGATTAATACATGGACAACAGTAATGGGGATAGATTACTTTAATATACGTCACCAACGTGGTATACAAAAAGAGCAGTGAACTAGAAGGACTGGAATATATGTTCTGACAAAGGAAAAATTGTATCAAGGAATTTTTCATGAAGGACATAGCACTAGGGTTGTACCTTAAGTTATAGGTGAGCTTTCACTATGTAGAAATGGTGATGAAAGGGAGCAGATGATGCATGGTGATATGACAGTCCTTAAAATGATGAAAAAGTGGTGTATTTGCATAGAGGAATGCTGGAATATGGTAGTAGGTGGAAACACTCGAGTCAGATAACAGGTCTCTTAGTATACTCTTTAAGACGTTTGGAGTTTAGTTTTGGGATGTTTATTGCAGCTCTTGGTACTAATATTCTAAAGAGTAGTTGACCAAGATCAGTTGTCAGCAAACTATAGCCCAAAGGTCAGATCTGGCCTATGACCTATGCTTGTGCA